GGACATACCAAATGCAAATATCAACCACTCACACAGATCTTAGGTCAAGAAGTATGAATAATAATAATAAAAATATTGATTTACCTTTTCAAACTCAATAAATGCATAGCACAAAGAGTCCCCTGACTTCTTGTCTTTGATAACTTCACAACTACAAAGTAAGCATATAAGTACATAGATACACAATGCTAAAATAAAACGTACAAAGAATTCTACAAAAGTCAGTGTTAATAAAGTTATAATGATGTTATGAAAATTATTTGGATATTTTCATTTGTCAATACAAATCAATGTCTCATTCTACAGAATGTCATGTTTTACTCTACTGAATAGAGTAGGACATGACATTCAGTAGAATAAGACATGACATTCAGTAGAGTAACATGACATGACATTCAGTAGAGTAAGACATGACATTCAGTAGAGTTAGAGATGACATTCAGTAGAGTAAGACATGGCATTCAGTAGAGTAAGACATGGCATTCAGTAGAGTAAGACATGACATTCAGTAGAGTAAGACATGGCATTCAGTAGAGTAAGACATGACATTCAGTAGAGTAAGACATGACATTCAGTAGAGTAAGAGATGACATTCAGTAGAGTAAGACATGACATTCAGTAGAGTTAGAGATGACATTCAGTAGAGTAAGACATGACATTCAGTAGAGTAAGAGATGACATTCAGTAGAGTAAGAGATGACATTCAGTAGAGTAAGAGATGACATTCAGTAGAGTTAGACATGACATTCAGTAGAGTAAGACATGACATTCAGTAGAGTAAGACAAGACATTCAGTAGGGTAAGAGATGACATTCAGTAGAGTAGAATGACATTCAGTAGGGTAAGAGATGACATTCAGTAGAGTGAGACATGACATTCAGTAGAGTAAGAGATGACATTCAGTAGAGTAAGACATGACATTCAGTAGAGTTAGAGATGACATTCAGTAGAGTTAGAGATGACATTCAGTACAGTAAGACATGACATTCAGTAGAGTAAGAGATGACATTCAGTACAGTAAGACATGACATTCAGTAGAGTAAGACATGCCATTCAGTACAGTAAGACATGACATTCAGTAGAGTAAGAGATGACATTCAGTAGGGTAAGAGATGACATTCAGTAGAGTAAGACATGACATTCAGTAGAGTAGACATGACATTCAGTAGAGTAAGAGATGACATTCAGTAGAGTAAGACATGACATTCAGTAGAGTTAGACATGACATTCAGTAGAGTGAGACATGACATTCAGTAGGGTAAGAGATGACAGTCAGTAGAGTAAGACATGACATTCAGTAGAGTAAGATGACATTCAGTAGGGTAAGAGATGACATTCAGTAGAGTAAGACATGACATTCAGTAGAGTAAGACATGACATTCAGTAGTGTAAGACATGACATTCAGTAGAGTAAAACATGACATTCAGTAGAGTGAGAGATGACATTCAGTAGGGTAAGAGATGACAGTCAGTAGAGTAAGACATGACATTCAGTAGAGTAAGATGACATTCAGTAGAGTAAGA